CACTTTCATCACCTTGCCCTTCATCTCTTCAGCGAAGGAGCTGCCTAGGACTCCTCCGATCACAATGGCTCCACCGTAGCAAACTACAAAGTAGAACTGCGTGCAAAGCAAGAGAGGAGTTAACTAAGATCAAACAACGGAACACGAAAGGTAAGGATCGAGCATGAAAGTGACAGAGGAGTTGGTGGAGGAGGAGGTGGCGAGCATGGATGAGGTGAGGATTGATCCTATCGCCGGGTTCGAGGTGGTGGACGTCGTGGCCTGCAAGGGCAACAAAATTCACCTCCTCTCGATGGAGGAGGCAGAGGAGGCAGAGGAGCAGTTCCTCCGCGCCCAAGCAGAGGAGGTAGAGCACCTCGCAGCGGAGGCGCGATTCGAGGCCGAACGCAAGGGTGCTGCCGCCTTCGCCTAGCTCATCTGTGACAACACCCTCTTCACGGAGAACCGCACTACTCTCGAGCCCCTCGAGTTCGAGGAGGTGTGGCGGCGAACCGTGGCCGATTCCACCTCCACAACGTTGAGTGGGAGGAGCTCTTTGCGGACGACGCTGACAACAATGAGATGCCCTCGATTCGCCCCACCACCAACGACCACGAGGCTGGCAACTCCGGCAAGGGGGTCATCGAGCTCTACTCCGACAAGAAGTAGGAGTAGGGTAGTACATAATTTGCAATCTTCTTTTTGAATGTAGCTCGTTTTTAACCATCTATTAGTTTGTATGAACTATGTATGAAATCAACGTTTCATGGCTTTATACGGATTAGATGTTTTGCACATGAGGCATGTGGTTGCCGGGGCGGGCTCCTGCACGGACGCGTCCACGGACATATAGATATAGGGAATCAAATTAGCAATCCTCGAAGATACTCCAAGCATAGGATTCCTTTTCAGATGAAGGAATACCGTTCTTCAAGTAGCATTTCCATATTCAAGTTTCGAAGAGAGATAAAAGCAAATTTCATTCAGGTTGGGCCTCTAGCACTTAAGGTTGCAAGCTTTGAAACAATCCTGATCCTGATCCTAATCAAAGCCACACCTCCACGACAACCACTAGTGGATCATTATTTGATCCTAGTGGAATGGTCGCCGCTGGGGAATTTCCGACCATTGAACGGCCAAACCAGCAAAACGCGTAGTACGATACAAAGCTCCAATCGCAGGTCAACAATTATAATTTTGATTCGTCATGCACGTCCGTCCTTACCCATTGCCAAGTTGCCATGTTTGTGCTGTCACAGACAGCAAAATAATGGAGGTGACGCGGAGTTCGAACATAAACCACAGCTGCCTCTCACCATTACCATACCATCAACAAATACCTCGGCTACTTTTTTCGAGTTATTTGACATCAATCGGGGGAGGATTTTCCGTAACTTCCACAGGAAATTAATGGGCAAACATGAAAAGAACGATTAACGGCTCCAAAAAGTTTCAACCTTTTCCAGCGGCTCCAAAAGTCCGGCCTTCAGTGGTAACATGATATAAATCTTACCCAATCAACTCACGTCGACTTATTAGTAAGGGTGTGTACAGTAGTGTTATCTTAGAAGTGTCATGTAGGATAAATGATAAGATGAAGGAGAGAGACTTCATAAGAAAAAGGTTGTCTTCTCTTATTTAAGATAAGCCAAGAGATAATATATTAGGGCATGTACAGTGGTGCTATCTTAGGAGTGCCATGTAGAATAAATGATGAGGTGAAGGAGAGAGGCCTCATAAGAAAAGGCTTATCTCTTTTTATTTAAGATAAGACAAGAGATGATATCTTAGCACAATATGTGTCACCACGTTTTTAGGAATAACTAGTTATGAAGATAAAGCTAAGAAATGACCTACTGTAGACATTTTTTTGTTATCTTTTAATTAGATGCAAGATCTAAGATAAGACTATTTTATCAACCATTGTACATGCCCTAAACTAGCACCAAACACGAAGTTTTTCGAAAGATCCACTAAAACACATAGTAGTTGCCATTGTAAGGCAACAGTTACAATTGACAAAGAAAGATTGCTAAACACTCCAGCCAAAATGAAAGTTTCAGTACTCAAAAAAGAAAAAAAAAACTTTGCTTGTGACCCTGAGATCTTAAGAGGATCTCCAGCCACGCCCCCAACACGCTCTATCCAGGCGTTTTTTTCGCGCCGGCGCCTAAAATTCAGCTCAGGCGCGCGCCCCGGAGCCTTTTTTCGCCGGTTTGAGTTGAAACTGGCATCAGTGGACCCAGGCCGAACCCGGCGCGCTGGGAGGCGCCTGGGAAAGCGGTTTTGGTGCGAACGGGGATGGGCCCGCAGCGTCAGCGAGATGCCGCTTCGTCGTCCTCATCGCCTCGGTTCCCGCGGAAATCAATGTGAGGCTGGCCAAGGCTGTCGCGCCGGTCAGCCTACATTGATGCCTCACGGGCGACGCAGTGAAGGCGTCACCGACGCGCGTCCCGTCCGCTCCCGCCACGCGTCGCCCAGCATGCAGGCTCTCGCCGCCCGGCCGCGGCTATAAAAGCCCATCCCCCGCCGGTGAAGGCCACAGCTGCCACACCACGCCTCACATCGCCACACAGAGCAGCCCACCGCCCCCTTCCCGCCGATGAGCAAATGGTTGAGAAGTTCCCCCGCGACGGCGCGGCGGCGAACGGCTTCGGCCGTCGCCATCTCCAAGAGCCGGGGGCGCGCCTCCTCTACGAGGCCGAGTATCTGGCGCCGTCGGACATGCATGTGCCGGGTGTGTGGAGGCTGAGCGCCGGCGGCATCCCGGTGCCACCGATGCCCGACGGGGCGGCACGGCGGGCCGAGATCGCCCGCATTCGCTCGTCCCTGCCGCCGGAGCAGCAGAACGAGCCGAGGTACGCCGTCGACAGCCACACGATGTGGACCATGTACTTCGCGCGCTGCCGCGAAGAACAGGTCGCCTCCACCAATGGCGTCATCCCCCGCGGCCGCCTCAACGCCGACTGGTGGCGCGAGTGGTTGGGCGTGCCAGGCCGCACGCTCGAGGCCGTCCTTGACCACATCGAGACCGGCAACGTACCGCGCCTCGAGTACCCGCCTCAGTCGTTCTTCTCTCGCCGTCGTGGTAGCTCCTGAACGCCGCGACGGATGGAGCCGGGGGCGTCCTCGTCGTCGGGCCCCGGCTCGCCGGGGCTCCGCCCCGTCAAGCCGGAGCCGGAGGAGATGCCGCTCCGGCGCCGCACCCGCAGCAGCGCCCTCGTCATCAACGAGGGTTCCCGCCCCTCCCCGCGCTTCCTCCGTCTGGTCCGGCCGAAGCCCGAGCCGTGCAGCAGCCGGAGCACGTCGGCATGGTGGCCCCCGACGACGAGGCCGCCCTACAATGGGCGAAGGAGGACTACCTCCGCGAGCAGGTGCGCCGCCAGCGCCGAGCATACAAGGAGCTCCAGGCCCGGCGCCGCGGGTGCGAGGAGGGCGGCGTCATCGTCCTCGACAGCGACGAGGAGGATGAGGCCGGGCCATCCAGCGCCCCACCGCGCGTCGGCGACCCTGGCCAGGGGTGCAGCAGGGACGGCGACAGCTCCGGCGGGGCGTGCGACGACGATGACGACGGCGGCAGCGGCGACTACACCCGTTTCTATAGGCTTCCCAGTATGTAGAAGGCGGCGGCGGGCTCCGGCAGGCGGTGGCAGCGATGTAGTAGGCTAGGCTAGGCGTAGTTGTTCTCTATTTTTTTTGTACAAATCTGAATGAAAATCGCCGAGTTTATGCCATGTTTGTGCAAATTTGAATCAAATCGCCGACTTTGTGCCCTGTTTGCGCCAATTTGGGGGGCGACCTGGGGGCGGCGACTGGGAACACTATCGCCCTCATGCCTAAAAGATACGCCGGTTCAGCCCCAGACGGCGCTTTTTCGGCGTCCTGAGGGCCGAACGGCTGGAGATGCTCTAAGAACACAATTCTTGAGGTATGAGATCTTAGTCAGGTTTCTTAGAGAGAAAATAAATAAATTCCTTTCAAGACTATAAATCCAACATTTAAGATACCAAGCTTTGAACGACAACTATCATTAAAGCCCGGTCTACGTTGACAACGGAATTAAATGCTTATTTAGCCAAGACTATCATAACCAACCATGGTATTGGGTTTGGTTGGCTGCAACTGATTCAAACAACAAAAATCCAAACCCACCCTAAGAAGTTTCTCCCAGGCTACTGTGCAGATTCCAAAAGAGAAATGCTGGCGTTGACCTGGATACATATGACCCAACTACTCATGTATAAAAGCACTCCCCATGCTCCTAGACAATTCAAGACAAAATCCAGTTATCCCATATCCTCTTCAACAATCTGAACTATCTTCACCAGTTAGGTCAAGTATTCAGCAGTGGTTGTGGTGCCAGTGCTCAAAGATCAGAAGAGAGGTTAATGTAAGTCAACTATACCACCTCCCTTTAACTTCTTCTCTGCTCCTATCCTGCTCTAGGGGGAAAGAAATTATGCTGCTGTCTTGTAATGCAAACAATGCAAAAACTTATCGATCCTTCAAGTGTAAAGAAAAATCCGTCTGGGATGAAATTAAATCAGAGGAAAAAGAAGATGTTGAGGCAATCAGCCCACCAACAATAATTGGTGACAACATCATCTTTCTTAGATAACTTACAATATATTGGCATTTTGAAGTTAGCTTTCGGCAAACCACAAAGCTTCCCGAACCAAATCAAAATTATTATTTTTGAAAATATACAAAGAATAATTCAGCAAATATGATAACCTATTATGAAAACAAGCGAAAAACCCAGCAATATGTTAATCTATTAAGCAGATAGTTAATGATTCGGTAATCTGTTGGCCAGTTAGTCATAGTTTGTATGGATCTCACTATTTCATACAGGAGGATTACCTATATGTAGTATGTACACCATTTTCTTGTATAGTGCTGCTACAGCACATAAATAATTTGCCTGCAAAAAGTGACTGGCAATGAATTTATTTTTTAATTAATCTGAAAGCTGTTGTAACATTGATTCATACCTTCACTGTTTCAAGACAGAGATAAGAATGGGCAAACTGGTTGCAGCAATAGGCAAGTTGCTTTGCTGTGTACAAGTGGACCAGTCAACAGTAGCCATCAAGGAACGATTTGGGAAATTTGAGGATGTGCTTGATCCGGGGTGTCACTGTGTGCCATGGATTATCGGAAGCCGTGTCAGTGGTAAGCTTACACTTAGGCTTAGGCAAATGGATGTTCGCTGCGAGACAAAGACAAAGGTACTCTTATATTTCACTTCTTGAATTATCCATTCAAAACACCCCCATGCATCACACAAACTTGTAGAGATCACATTAGTTTATGCGATCTATTTTCTGCTGACACTATGCATCCTCTTACAGGATAACGTTTTTGTTACAATTGTTGCATCCATTCAATACCGAGCAATGGAGGACAAAGCAAATGATGCGTATTATAAGCTGAGCAACCCAAAATCTCAAATCCAATCTTATGTCTTTGATGGTAAGGATTATCCTCTTAAAATATAGTAATTTCTGGAAATTCTCGTGAATTGAAGAAATTTTTCTATATGTAAATGCTAAAAATCTTCTCCAAGTGATTCTTAACAAGGGTATATGATCTTGCAGTTATCAGAGCAAGCATTCCCAAACTACAACTGGATGATGTTTTTGAGCAAAAGAATGACATAGCAAAATCTGTGGAGCAGGAGCTTGAGAAGGCTATGTTTGCTTATGGCTATGAGATTGTGCAGACACTAATTGTTGATATAGAGCCAGATGAAAAGGTTAAAAAGGCTATGAATGAAATTAATGCCGGTAAGCATTTGCCTACTTGAGTAGAGCTTAGTTTGGAGTATCAACTGCTAAAATCTAGCAACAACGCAGGTGTTCCATGTATGTATTGCTAACAAACCTTAGGAGTAGTTCACATTAGGGTGTTGATATAGCTGATCTAAAACCCTAATGTTTTATCTAAGCAGTTTGATGTATATGTTTAACCATTTCTTTTTATTATGCTGTTCAGCTGCAAGAATGCGTGTTGCGGCAAATGAAAAGGCAGAGGCAGAAAAGATCGTTCAAATCAAGAGAGCTGAGGGAGAGGCTGAAGCTAAGTATCTCTCTGGCCTTGGAATTGCAAGGCAGCGGCAGGCAATAGTTGATGGCCTCAGAGACAGTGTGCTTGGCTTTTCTGGCAATGTGCCTGGGACTTCCGCCAAGGATGTGATGGACTTGGTTCTGCTCACTCAATACTTTGACACCATGAAAGAGATCGGCGCTTCATCCAAATCTTCTGCAGTTTTCCTCCCGCATGGCCCAGGTGCTGTTGCAGACATTGCCAGTCAGATTCGCAATGGATTTCTTCAGGCGTCCACACATAATGCCTGAACTGAACCCATGTGTACAAGAATTTGAATTGGTGAGGTCAGTCCTACAGGCTCCTGGTTTGACATAAGAAAATGGTCCTTTAGGCGCGTGATAATATTGTGTGAGTTTGTGACTTGTGAGATATCTACAGAAGCTTGTAAAATGGTTTGTATTTTATAATGTATCAGCTAGTCCTTAGATATCCGTAGATAAGTGCCTAAATATATACAAAATGGAGCATGGGGACTTAAGATGGATGTATTGAATGGTTGTTGTGTGGCTATACTTGAGCTTCTGAGAAAATAATGTTTCCACATCTTCTTTAAATTTAATATATAGCTTTGGTTTCATATATTTCAGCGATAATTATACAATAACTCATCTTAGTCCCACTGAATTTCCTCACTAGCACCACTCACAATCAAAACATGCAGTTTGAATCAAACTAAGAAACTGAGATCAAGTTAAATAATTTAAAACCTGTAATCAGAAACATCAATGTTCGTGGATCATTAACTTAGCTCAGTACGTGCACAGCTTAAATCAAACGGGCTATTTTGGGTGGTAAAGTGGACAGTTATCAGGTAAGATATGAATATTAGCTTAACCTCATCAAACAAAAAGAGTTAGCAAGGCTATAACTCAAATTGGCCAATTTGGCAAGACATGATCCATTTTGCACCACATATCATTTCAGACACCGAGTGAAGATAAACTCACATTGAAGGGATCATTGGATCATTGTCTGCAGTAATCTTAAGCACATTTTGAACTACATAGGTGCACAGGATAGTCATTGGCAGTATGATAATTAGTGGCACGGGAGATGATCAACTCCTGGACTGGATCGATCAGGGGAAAAGGCCCCAACACTGACGCATAATAAAATTGCAAGTACTCCCTCCGTCCCATAATATAAGAGCAACGCTCTTATATTATGGGACGGAGGGAGTATATACCTAACAGCCGAGATGGGCTTCAGTAAGGTCGGCCCTCCTCGGGATACCCCTCTTCCGGCCAGTACCTCAGCCACGAGAACATGGGCCCCTTGGCCATCGCCAGCTCCAGGATGTCAGCGCCGGCGACCCCTGGGTCCACGTCCCTCCCAACCAACCTCACCGCCTCCACTAGCGGGTCGTGCTGGTGTCTCTCTCCCTGCGCGCCGGCCGCCGAACCGACCGGCGCCTTGCCCTTCCTGCTCCCCGCGGCACTGCCGCCGCGCGCGCCTCGGTTCCCACTGGATGAAGGAGGGAGGAGGAGCGTTGGAGGAAGGGAGCGAGGAGCGGCCGCGGCGACAGAGGACGAGGCCTCGGAGGCGGGCGGCGTTGGCGGTGGCGGTGGCGGTTTCGACATGGCTTCTTCCGGAAGGAGAGTGAGAGGCTTTTTTTTTCTTTTTGAGTTACACTAGTAAGCATGCATGTGCAACGTACGTCTGAAACAAAATGAGTTTACATGGTATAATATTAACCAAAATAAATTTTACATAAAAATTTGGATGGTTAAAAAATATTATCATGTCACTCAAATTGTATTTAAAAAAGTGTGACATATTTGTAATCCAACACACACGTATCATAATCCATAGTAAAAACATTTACTGTAAATTTAATTTTTATTTTAGTGATTTTTTTACCGAGCCATTTAAATGTGTCTAATGCCCAATGATATGAGCAAGCGTGTAACACATGATCTAGAAAGAGTAAAATGCATCACAAGTCCTAAAACTATCATAGATGTGTCAGTTTAGTCCTATAACATATCTCCGCATAAAATTAACGGTCACATAATAATTGTATTATAATTATTACAAAAATATATATTTTAAGAACCAGAACTAAGCATGTCTTGAAGGTCCATCTTTTGAAGCAATGAAAGTCCATCTGTAGATGTGATCTATGATGATTCGTTCAATGGATGGGATATTGTTTTGAGCTTCATTCTCTTCATACTTTAGAATATGCACCAAAAATTGCTTCCTCAATTGAAAACCGGGCTACATATGCATTATACAACATTGTTATAACAAGTTGCATGTACAATGTGTATACAAGTAAGCATGGTGTAAATACTCACCTTGGGTATGGAAAAATATAGTTTTCCATCGCACAATGAGTGCATGAAATTGAAAACCAAATAACCCGACAGGGCACTGCATGTATGCAATAAAGATATAATGTGCTTTGAATGAATCAATAAATATTGTAATGCATTAAAAAGATTCGTACCAGTGTGAGTTTGTTGGAGCAATAGGAACTATGCATTCCCATTTAGAGATATCATCCTTGAATGCAGGGTTTGCAACTTCAAGGGCAATATTTAGGTTGCCGGCCACGGTTTTAAGTACATTCTCCCCAAAGTAGGTATTGGTGTCGGATCAAAAATTGAGACAAGTTTTTTATTTTGATCCAAAACAAACAATAAAAATAGTCCAAACTTACACCAAGGCAACAAAATCTACAACGATGCAATAGTTTATAAATAATATATGGAATATTAATTAAGACCAAATAAAGCACTGTCATAAAATGAAAATCTAAAATCTTACCATATCACATTGTGAGATATGATAGTCATTGCTCTCAGGCCACCTATGGAACAACCGTTTCAATATAACAATGTCCATATTTTCACGATGACTTGAGTTTCGTGCATAGTGAAACACCGCCTAAAATAAGAATAAGAAAACATTAGTGCAATGAGGAAAAAAATTGATACGTGATTATACTAACTTACACAAAAGTTTAGATCCATATAGTGAGATGGAATGTCTCTGAGAAGCTGGACTTTATTGCGCGCTAGTATACGCACAACCATATTGAAACAATCAATATCCATGTATTCATCATTGTTTAGTATGTTTTTTATTTGTCTCAAATTTAAGCTAATTTGATAAGGATCAGAGCTTTTGACCCATTCGCTCATGTAAATTCGAAATTCTGTCAATTATAATGACATCAGAGTAATTTATTAGAATACAAAATGATCTAAAAAATATGGCTTACTCCAGTAGAGCGACATCATCAACCATACTGATGAACAAGCATAGTTCATCTATTAAGTCATCATTTGTTTGATTGACAAACGGTGAAAGGATAAATGACTATGAGATGAGCTCAACTTCTGATGATGTATTTGATTTCTTTGAAATTCTCAGGGGGTTTACCTAGTATCATACATTCCGTGGGATCTGTGTTGTCTTCGTCATCTTCCATGTCTCGATTTCTTATATTATCATCATTCAATTCCGAGTCCACTAAAATCATAGCTAGTTTTGTTTTAAAAGCTATTATATGTTCCTATTAAAGTAGTAATGAGAGTTAAATAGTGATACAACATAGAATAAGTATAATGATACACAGTGAAAAATACCCGTGTAGGAGCGTCAGACAAAATATCTACTTTGAAGTACTCCATAAAATTTACCATCCACAAACCACAAGATGACCTACATGGTTGCAAAACTTAAATATACTCAATAAAGTTTATCATTTTTTGTAGAAATTTATATTTTCTTAATCATCAAATGATCATGACTTTAACAAGCCGTGATGAAAACAATAATTTCACCCACGTAGGTGAACTGGACATGCCCTATGAATCCCTATGAAATATTCCCTCTGTTTCTATATATAAGTCATTAGAAACTTGAATATGGGCTGCATACGGATGAATATAGAGCGTATTTTAGAGTGATGTAGTCCATATTAGAATCTCTAAAAAAACTTGTATTTACGAACATACAGAGTATAATGGATTTTTATTAGAAGATATTTTTTGTTTGGACAATGCCACACTCACTCACCATCATACGTAGTATAGTGATGAAAGTGCTAGTGATCGACTAGAGGAGGGTGAATAGGCGATTTTTATGAAAGTCTTCAAAACATGGAAGTTTCGAAGACAAACGATAGAAATAAACCTATTACCATGCAGCGGAAGGTAGACTACACTAGGCAAACCATAATCAAGTATTCAATGGAGTGAAAGCATAATGACTAATAGCAGCTAGGCAGTAAAGATCAGGTAGGAAGATATTGTGAAGCCAATCAGAACAAGCAGTCACTCAGTGAAGACAAAAGATAAAGCAATCATACAATGACTTCACGAGGACCAACTGTAAATAAAGAAATGGGAAGGATAGAACCAGTGAGCTTGGTGAAGACAAAGATTTGGTAGACCAGTTCCAACTGCTGTGACAGTTGTACGTCTGGTTAGGGTGGCTAGGTATTTAAACCTGAGGACACATAGTCTCGGACACCCAGTCCTGAACACGCAGCTCAGGACACTCAGTCCTCACCGTATTCCCCTCGAGCTAAGGTCACACAGACCTCGCCCAATCACTCTGGTAAGTCTTCAAGGTAGACTTCCAAACCTTCACAGACTTCGTTCACCGGCGATCCACAATGACTCTTGGATGCTCAGAACGCGACACCTAACCGGTTGGAGGATTCACAGTCCTCAAGTATAATAAGTTTTCAGATCACACAGACAGGAAGACTTAAGTGATGCCTAACACTCTTTGGCTCTGGGTGTTTAGGGCTTTATCCTCGCAAGGAATTCTCTCTCAAAGGCTTCGAGGTGGGTTGCTCTCAAACGACAAAAGCCGTACTCTAACTCTGAGCAGACAATCGTTTATGGTTGTAGGGGGTGGGCTATTTATAGCCACTAGGCAACCCGACCTGATTTGTCCGAAATGACCCTGGGTCACTAAGGAACTGACACATGTTCCAACGGTCAGATTTCAAACACACACGGCAACTTTACTTGGGCTACAAGCAAAGCTGACTTATCCAACTCTGGACAAGATTTGCTCTCATAGTCTTCACTCGAAGACATAGGATTTTGGTTAAGCATCACTTCAGTCATTCTGACTGGTTCTCTTGGACCCCACTTAACAATACGGTGGTTCCTATGACTCAACAAAGAAAAACACAGAACGACGAAACTGCTAAGTCTTCGCGCTCCATAGTCTTCACGCGATGTCTTCTCTTATCATGGTCTTCAATGTGAATGTCTTCACATACCACCTCTGACTTCAATGTCTTCATACATTTTTAGGGGTCATCTCTGGTAGGAAAACCGAATCAATGAGGGACTTCTACCTGTGTTATCCTGCAATTCTCACAAACACATTAGTCCCTCAACTAGGTTTGTCATCAATACTCCAAAACCAACTAGGGGTGGCACTAGATGCACTTATAATCTCCTCCTTTTTGGTGATTGATGACAAACTAGTTGAAGTTTTCAACGGGGAATATAATATGTGAAATTGTAAAGGATAGGGGATTGTCTTCATAAGTTGCAAGGGCTCCCCCTGAAGATGTGCATATAAGTAATTTGCTTTTGGAATGCAAATGCACATGGCAGGTTGTACTTGTGGAGATCCTCTTCAACTTATGATGACAATTCATCATGCATGAAAAGTATGTGAAGATAATGACATGCATAACGAAAAATGGACGTCTGCAAAATGATCTAAGTGCGGAATTTATCGTCGCACATGCGGAATTTATCATCGCATCACAGAAAAGCAAATAAGTAGCAGACGACCATCGAGTTTGAGTGTTACAACTCAAAGAACCAAATGTATCAAAACGCGAGAGTTGTAAACACTAGGAAAAATATAAAACCACCGCCCATATGGACCCGCTTGAAGATTATCAAACTCATATGCTTCTCCCCCTTTTGTCAGTAAGGACCAAAAAGGTTTGAAGACATAGAGCATCTACTCGTTCCCATGAGAAGTAGGTGAAGCAGCAGGGTCGTCGGTGTTGTTTGGTGGTGCAGACGAAGTTGGTGCAGTGTTTATTCGCACCGAAGGTGGTGAAGTAGCATCGTCTTCATCATCGATGACACGTGCATTCACTATTGCAGCAGAGGAGGAGAACTCAGAGTCTTCAAGAGACGGAGTACGCCGCCGCACAGTCCTTCTTGGAGGTGTTGAGTCAAACTTGAAGCGTTCAGAGAATCCATCCTCTTGAAGATCATCTTCAAAGCACATAAGCGTCAGCCCTTTCCATGTACGCTGACAGATTTCATGGGCAACAAAGGCATTCTTGGTGGCAAGGTTGCGAATCCTATTTACATCCACCAAGAGGCTTTGCATTTGGCGCTTCAGCCAGTCATGATGCTTATCCTATTTCTGATGAAGGGCAACCAGAAGCTCTCGGTCATTGAGAACACGGGATCGCTTCTTGGACCATTGTGCAATGGTGCTTTCAGTGGCTTCAGTGAGGGCACGATGAGGTGCACGGGTAGTACCAGCCAGAGGATAAACACGAGTGACTGCTGGGTCGCCTTCAATGTGTTGAGAGAAACTTTGCTTATTAGCATTCTGAAGACTAAGGGGCTCC